AATGAAAAGTCCTGTAAATCAGTCTTGAAAGAGAAATAAATAATGCGAATTGCTTTTCTTTTATAAATAATTTAATACAAGATGGATTTGTAAAATCTGTCTTAAAAGATCATATACAATTAATTTTCAAGATAAAGGTCTCTTATTGTTATTGTTATGCGTTATACAGTTAAATTTTGATGTAAGTTACATTTTATATGGTACTAATTTTTATTGGCTGATTTTGTCGATCAACAAGAAAATCCCAGAAATTTCCAAAAAAGGAAATTTGAAAAACAGTTCGATAATATTGGTCCCTTATATATAATATTTTATATAGTAGATTATTAACCAATCAGATTGTGACATATATGATTAGTATTTAGATTATTTGATCAAATCATATTTTTAGTCTAATCTTAACTTCCTGTTATTAGATTTGAATAATCTTACTATTTTTAAATTTGTCTTGATGAACTGATTCAAATAGCAGTAATTTTATCTTGATTGAACTAGTAATTGTGAAGATATGTTCTCAAATAGCTGTTTTTCTAAGATTAATATTCTTCTAGACTTATTTTTGAGTTCTATAAAAATTTAATAAAAAAAGCAAGGTCTATAACTTGAAGTCTTCTAATATTGATTAGATTTAAGAACTTGGTTTTATAAATAGCTTCTATTCTATGAGTAAGAATTACCCACATAGTTTACTTATAGGACCACCAAACAAATTACTACAAAATATGAGCTATTGTTCCTTATTTATAGCAGAGATGCAATTTTTTCTTTCAAAATAAAACCCAAACTTTTAGTTTTAAAAGACAAATCAATAGAAAATTAAATATTATGATATCGAAATTTTTTTAGAAAAACTAAATATCATTCTTCTACAAGCTCAAACAAATATTTAGTGTAGTCAACAAAAACAACAACTTTGACATCAACAAAAAAATATTATCAAAAATTATTATACTAGTAACAAGCTTCTTGTATTTAATTCAGCTTTAGATTAGACCTATAATGGTAAACTTGAGAAAAATAAATAGGTTCCTGTTATATTCATAATATTTTAGAAAATGATTTCTATAAAATAAGAATGATAGATGAAAAGATTTATAAAAAGTTAGTACATAGTAATAGATTAAAATAATATATCGAAAAAATAGAAAATTAAAAATTAATCTCACAGATGCTTGATCTTTAAGGGAAGGAGTTTGTTAATATTCTATTTTTCATCTCTTCTTCACATGATCAAAACTGATCTTTGATCAATGACATTATCCTTGCAATTAACATTTTTCTTGCTTCATTCTATTTTATTTTTCTGGTTCATACTATTTCATACTAATTCATACTAACTCATGAGATTTTCTTTACTATTAACTTAGTATCAATATTAGAATGGCACCTTTAATATATATCCTTAGCATATAGGCCTCCTTTTAGTCTTCATTGGAACTTTAGTCTTCGACATATCTCCTTGAGTAGATTATAATATCTTGATTAGTTATTTTTCTTTATTTTTTTTTTTACTTATTTATTCATTTATTTATTTCTTAATTTATTGTTTATTTATTTATTTATTTTATTTATTCATTTATTTATTCGCATAATAAAACAATTCTTGATTGATCGTATAATAAACATACTCGATACACCTCTAACTTGCATATATCATCGCGTACACTTTCGATACATTATTGAATATATAAAGCTTAATTTATCATTATATCTTTTATCCAAGTCTACTATCAGAGTTGAATTTGGCATCGTAAAACGTTGCTTATCTCGAATCTTTATAGTAACAATGTACATGCATACATATGATTTTGTAATTTTATTGGCCGAAAAAATCATCCGGTTAATTTTTATCAGGTGTTCCAAAAATTATGATAATAGCAGTAAAATAAATCATAAATATCTAACCTGGGTTACCCTGATATAAACTTTACCCTTCTCTGCAGTGAGTTGAGAAAAAAAGCCAATGAATAGGCAACATTCAGAAACTTTTCCGGGGTGATCCGTGGGTTGACCCACGGGTGACCCGCGGGTTGACCACCCGGGTGGTCATAACTCAACCTGGGTCACCCGCCCACCCACGGGTGACCCGGGTGACACCTACCTGGGTCGGAACACTATCTATATAGATGCTGGGTATTTGTCTAGATCTGGATAAGGCCACTAAAAAAATGACCTTTATTCAGTTCATAACAAGATCTAGAACCTTTACCATACATGGCCACCGTGGCTCTACCAAACGTAGCACCCTGATACTCACTAGCTGTACCGCAAGTGAAACCAGCATCCTGAAAGTAAGTTTTATCAACCTGCGTTAAAGAAACAACTGCAACACCCGGATCCATGGTATAAGTATTATTATGAAAGACGGGGACTTCGAAAAGTTTTTTTTCCTTTTCTTCAGGCATCTTAAGAGAGTAATCGCAAAACTTATTTAAATAACGCACGATAGGCTCTTCACAATGGAAACACACCTCCAATTCAATGGTATCGTCATATTTCTCTATATCTAAGATAGTCATGTATTGTGGTATATAATTGCCAAAATCGACAAATGGAACTTGATGATGATCACCGAAGCAGTACATACCTTCGGGTTGGTATAGATACTGAAACAAGTACAGGTGACTATACGAAAACTTGTAAACTTCATCAATGAACAGGACCTTAACTTTCTTGTGATCTCTGATGGCTTATGCTCCGTCTTTAAACAATCTTGTATAGTGTCAGAGAGTTCGGTAAAAATATCATCTCGTAATTTTTTTGTTGGGAATATAGCTGTGAATTCAACATACTTCGCAATGCATTCTCTCAAAAGTTGTAATACAAGAGTGGCAGTTTTTCTTGTCCAAGGGCCCCTACTCCTAATCTGATAATGTTGGGGTTGAACGCGAATTTTGTAGGTTTGATCGTTTTAACTTTCTCATAGGCCCCATCGATGACATTAGCAATTTCAGGTTGTTGCGCA